TCATTTCATGTTGTTCCTTGTTTTGTGCTGTTGGGTAAATCATGACGAGAATCATCAGTAAAGCAGATAAATCATAATCACACATGTTGTTAACAATTAGCATAAGACAGTGGTTCAAAAATGAAAATTATATATTTTTTTTAATATGTAAGATTTAATTAAGTTCTTTCTAACTACTTTACATTTAAGACCACAGCGAGCTGCATAGATCGATTACTTTATAAATAAAATTTGAATTTTTCATTCATCACTTAGTGGTAATGCATTAATTAACCTTAAAAACATTAATATTAATATTTGTCTTGGTCAATGACTCTATAAAGGTTTTCTAAGGTCATTGGTTTTAATTCAGCAGTGTGTATACATTTTATAGAAAACAATAATTTTATGTTTAAATTGAAGTCACAGTCTTACACTCTTGTTCTGTAAGTCTAGAATTTTTTTCATAAACAGATAATAAAAACAAATTATCCAAAGAGATCCACAGGCAGCACAGTATATATATATATATACACATCACACATACTGGTGAATTAAGTATGCTCAAGCTCTTTAATCAAACTTGTATTGTTTCCACTAAAATATAATTATTGTCGTTATCCATGAATTTTCAACTTCAAAGTTTTACAAAAATGCACAAAAAAATAGTAAAGCACATTATTATTGTTTTATTGAGATTCCACATTACACTCATTTACTTGTACTTCTGAACAGAAAACGTGTTTTTGTGGTTCAATGTGATGCTTGGTTTATTTGTGCGGGGTCAAATTTGATACAATAAGTGAAAATAGGAGTTCAATTAAATATTTTCCTATTAAATAATAAAATAATTAAAAAAATGTAAACTTTTTTTGACAGTTTTTAAAAATTTTTCTTTTATGTTTTCTTATCTTTATGGCAGGTGTCTAGTCTAATACATTTGTTTAGCACTATACTTGTCTCTCACTTACTGTATCTTCTTTGTGAAGAGACACTAAGAGTATTATTTACAAAGCTATGCTTGGATTGCTGCCTTCTTATATTTGTACTTTGGTCACAAGGACAAATAGTGGTTCTTACTCCTTGCGCTCAAATGATCAGCTGCTGTTGTCTGTTCCCCTTATCCGCACAGAGCTGGGTAAGAAAGCCTTTGTCCACTCTGCGCCTTTTTCGTGGAACATGTTACAGAAAGACTGGAAACTAACTGAATTGTTGTCTTTAAATGTTTTTAAAACTAAACTCAAAGGCCTACAGGCTGCCTCAATAATGTGTAATTGTTTTGTGTAATTTTAACTTTGTTTGTTCGTATGTATTTGTCTTGAAATGTGCTGCCTCTTGGCCAGGACTCCCTTGAAAAAGAGGTCTTTGATCTCAACGGGACATTCCTGGTTAAATAAAGGTTAAATAAAAAATAAAATATAATGCTACATAATTATACAGTTTTTCCATCATTAATTCAAATCTTTTATAAATGAAGTGTATGTGACTGGTGGTAGGACTAAACCTAGATTATAAGCACTGACCTTTATCAACCAGATGTCTTTTCACACGCTGGTCAGATAACAGATTGTCACAGTGGGTTTAAAATGGCAGCAATTTGTTTGACTATCAACTGTTCTTCTGTTATTATTTGGTTGTGAAACACTATAACACCTTTAGTATATAGCTAGCATATAGCTGCTGCACCATGTAATACGATCTGAAAGGCATCTAATTGACAATGATCCCAAACATAATGCCAACGTAGTAAAAGCATACTTGGATAGAAAAAACCAACAAAAAAATGAAACACTATCAGCCATAGACAGGCCTCCCCGGAGCCCAGACTCAACATTATTGATGCAGTGTGGAATCATCCTAAGAACAGAACAAATTGAAGTCAACAGCCAAAGAAGAGCTGTGAATGTCCTTCAAGAAGCCCAATCCTGAAGACGTCTTCAGACAATAAAGGTTGTCTAAGAGAGTTTAACCCTGTACGAAAGAAATTTCTAATTATTTGGAACTGAGATGTTTATTAATCGTTATAACAAAATCCACAAAACTTTTTTTTCCTATATCATGTTGTGTATGATTTATTTTTTGTATCACATTCGATAGATTGGCAACTTTTTGTTAACAAAAATGTTAATTTTAGACAAAAAGAACTTTTGTGCATAACATTTTGAAATTATATCAACTATTGATCATGTTGATGAGATAGAAGTCTCAGAAACCCATGTATTAAATATGATAGAAAGGCATTATAGGGTTAAGCTGTGTTGTAAAATAAAAGCGATCATACCAAATACTGATTTTCAAACTTGTTGCAATCGTACAAACTCAGTCTTTCCCATTCATATTTTTTGAAATATACATATTTCAGTAGATCTCCACAGATATTCTCCATTTTCCAAGCAAAACATAAAGAAATGAGGGTAAGTTAAATACTTTCACACATTATAGTATACCAACTTTTTTTTTAAATCACACAATAATAAAAGTAGTATTTGGGTTTCAGTGGGATACATAAACATCAGGTCTTTGCCCTTATCTTCCAGACAGTGGAAAAAAAGGACAAAGATACTGGTGTCCTTGTTATCTAATAACAAGGAAATGGTAGGTCTAACAATATTTTGAAGGCTTTTATTCCTCTGATGATAATATAATACTTTTAAAGATGGTAAAATACTACAATTATAAGTTTTTGCTTTAAAATGTTTTATTAAGACCCCTTATTAACTTAAATACACAAACTCGGTACCTATTGATCAATCTGATTTATTGCCTTTCAGTGTGAAAACATGCCGGAGAAGCCGATATAACTTGAAAATAAAGAATAACGATTTGATTACAAAAATGATGTTTATTTAATTAAGACAAACTATAGAAGAAAATTATTTACAACACTGCAAGGTGTCCATTCAGAAACTGCTTTGAATTGATAATTCTTTAAAGCAGCGCTCCCCAACCCCCGGGCCACGGACCAGTACTGGGCCGCGAGAGGCTCGGGTGTGAAATTTATGGTTTTCAGGGTTTTTATTGTTAGCTGCTAATAAAGTTAGACAATTACACAGTGAATCCGCGTTTATTATTATAATTACGAAATACCGCAGTTTTTGCTTTGGTCGCATCATTTTATTTTGTTGTATTCATCCGCGGCCTTAAAGGCCGGTCTGTGAAAATATTGTCTGACATTAAACCGGTCCGTGGTGCAAAAAAGGTTGGGGACCACTGGTTTAAAGGACTCCACTGAACTCAAGCGTGACATAAACACAAAGCATGAAAAAGCATCTTTTCCAAAAGCTGTAAACAGTGATCGTCGTTCAACAAAACAAGCTTGGCTCAACAAATGAGGAGCGTGTGTTTGTCAGTATTTATTGAAAAACTTTGCAATAATTCAGTTTATCACACAGGCTCACAAAATGATTCACGAGTAAAACTGATAGTCACTCTTAAAATGTAAATACAAAATGCCAGAACACGTTATTGTTGTGGAACAAAACAAAATTGTAATTGGTACACTGTAACAGCCAAGAAAACATCTGCATGAAGTAGATTTTAATACTGAACCCACAGTGTCAATGTCCAATATGTTGTATTTACTTGTTAGTCAGTCAATCCATGCCTCATTAGTGGGAGCAGTACTGTGTCCCCCCCCCCCACAGAGCACAGTGTATTTTCTCCAATTTGTAAAATGAGAAAGATGTAAGGCGGCAAGAATGTGACGGTTCAAAAGAATAGTGAATAATGTGCTCAAAAGCAAAACAAAATCCATCCAAGGAGCACTCTCTTTATGATTTTAGAAATTTTTACATCAAGTAAAATTTCTAAAATCATAAACATGTATCCAACAGGCCTATTTCACAGCAGCCATTTGACTTAAAATAGCAGCTAAACAGACAGGAAGCTTTAATAATGTGTTTAGATTAGTGACACCTGTGTCTCCCTACTATCTGCTGTGGCTGCTGCGAAATAGGCATAATGCATAATCCCAGGGTGGCTTCTGGTTAAACTGAATTTGACACAGAGCACTCGTATCAAATTTGCACGTCTCTCTTTATCTACATGTCTTCTGTTCATTTTATACGAATTTAATTACAGAATACTAAAAGGACGGTTAGTGGCTTTTAGCCGCAGGCGTTGTCTAAACCTGACAAACGGCTGACTAAACGATTAGAGCATAACCTTCCAAGTCACTTGAGTGTCTAAGTTTCCCAGGTGTGCAACAACATTTCATTACCTTTATTCAAAGCTGTCTTGATGCATGCTGAATCATCCAGGTAAGGAAATCCCAAAAAGTTGATTCAGTTCATCTGGACGTGATGTTTTCAGTGTGACATCCAAGTGACTTCTTCAGTCTCAGCTGACTGCAGGTTTCCCCAACATATTAAACAGTACATTTGCATTTCCACAGCTGTTTTTAACTTGAACCTTTAACTGCTTAATAAACTTAAGAAAATGTACTTTGCATATTTGTCTTCTCTCATAAAATGAACCCAACGAAACCGGCATTGAGCTGAGACCCAAGAAGTCGCTTGGATTAGTGATGAAACATTTCTCCCACAGCTCTACGTCCAGATAAACATAATCTACTTTTGGGGATTTATCTAAAGCTGCATTTCCACCACAGGTTTCCCAAAGAATAAGGAACCTGCGGAGTAAATCAGGATGTTTTCCAGGGACCCGGCAATATTTTAGAGTTTTGAGGAAATATTTAATATCTTGGGTGGCTGTAGCTCAGGTGGCAGAGCAGGTCAGCCACTAATCAGAAGGTCGGTGGTTCGAGAGCAGGTCAGCCACTAATCAGAAGGTCGGTGGTTCGATCCCAGGCTGCCTCCTGGCTGCATGCCAAATATCCTTGGGCAAGATACTAACCCCATGTTTGCCTGGTGGTCAGAGGGCCCGGTGGCGCCAGTGTCCGGCAGCCTCGCCTCTGTCAGTGCGCCAGCTGTGGCTAGAATGTAGCTTGCTATCGCCAGTGTGTAAATGTGTGTGTGAATGGGTGGATGACTAAATGTAGTGTAAAGCGCTTTGGGGTCCTTAAGGACTAGAAAAGCGCTATACAAATGCAGGCCATTTACCATTTACCCTAACAAAACATCCTTTCTAAGCGGTATTACTGTGAATGGGGCTTCGGTTCACGTCTGCAACTACTGCACTTCTCACTCACATCACAATATGCTGCAATACCTCACAAAATATGTTCAATCTAACCTTTTGGATCCACTTTGTGATGACTGCATGTCTATTTAGTGACAAAGAATTGCGCGCTCACCTCCCTCATTTCACATTACAACATCAACATTTTAGTGTGCTCTACGCTGAAGTAGTGATCTGCAATATAGTGGCATGTCTAATTTGCCTAATCTTCACAGCTCTTTAAATCATGGTGGAAATGCAGACGACCAACAGTCTGAAGAAAGCTTTTTGTGCCTTGAAATTTCCTGGGACATTTGTGTGGAAATGTAGCTTAATACAGGATTACAAGGACCCCAGAGTGGAAAAACGTGATGGGCACAGAACGTCGATGGCCACTGAAATGTATTTTGATTTAAAATCATTACACCTGGCCTCTAGCATGCTGCAAATAATGCTGATAAAGGTCTGAAATGGCTGCGTAGGAACTTCCACACACAGCACAGCTCACACCATCTGAAGGCTTTTCATTTGACATGCTGGCATTCTGAGTCACGTGTTTCTTCACAGTTCTTAAAGGGGTAATGGGTTTTCCAAGTCCATTTTTACCTACACTGTCACAACTGGCCTCTTTATCTTGCACTACGTTTGCCCTGCTGGGATGCTCAGAAGAATTACCCAAATCAGGATCCCGGCTTTGAACACAGGAAGTCACAATTGATTCTTGAAAAACCGGGTCTGGATATTTAGATAAGGGATCTGAGAGAGATTTAATTTCCTCAGAAGCCTGGCGTAATGTTTCTATGCCATTATTGGTGGGAGGGTTTAGCGTTTTCGTGTTTGACGGTGCATTGCGATCATCTACTGATAAATCAAAATCAGAGTCTTTGCGTATGTCTTGCGTTGAGGAATGGCAGAGCTGGTGACTAAACAGCATGTCTAGAGTTTTAAAGCTGCACCTGCAGCGCTCGCATTGATAAGGCAGAAACACTTTCTTGGGCCTGACTTGAACCCACTGGAACTCTGGGTGCTTACTCATGTGCTTTTTGTAAGGCTCTACAAACCGAAAACCTTGCCCGCACTGAGGACACGTGAAGCGGCCATCCCTGTGACGATGAATTCTCTGATGGTGCCACAACTTTTTCCAGCTTCCTAGTGTTTTACCACAGCAGGCACAGGTGTAGCTTTGACCTGGGGCGTGTGTGAGCATGTGGGCTCTGAGCCTGCCCATGTGTCTGAAGAGTCGCCCACAGTTTGGGCACAGATATCTCCTGGGATCTGATCTGTTGTCTACTTTGTTTAACTTTGACACTAGGTGTGAGAGACTGTGAGCTGGTATGACCGTGGACTGGAACGGTTTTTTCAAGTTGTTGGAGCGTTTCTTGCGGATGATCTGTGGCTGTTTCTTCAGTGTTTCACAGCTGGCAGCTGCCACCAGAGCTGAATTGTGCGCCGATGAGCACCTGAGTGCAGGCACTGTGTACTGAATTAACGACACAGTCTCCTCCTCCTTAATCGCAGAGCTGGAGGCATTTTTTTCCACGCTGCACTGACTGCGATGGGCGTTGAATTCAGACAGCACACCGAACAGCTTGTCGCAGTACAAGCAGCGATAAAGCTTTGCGCCGGTGTGCTCTCGCATGTGGGTGTTGAACTCCTGCAAATGGTCAAAAACATTCTTGCAGATGTGGCATGTGTACGTTAGCGAAGGCTTTGGGCGTCTGTGTTCTTGCGCGTTGTCATCGCTTCCCAAAGGTCTACATGAGTGATTTTTTGCATTGCTGTAGTGAGTAAATGATTTTTCACAATGGGTGCAGTTGTAACGCTTCACAGACCAATGCGTGAGCTCGTGAACACGGAGGAAATAGGCCTGCCCGAAAGCTTTGCCACAGATGTCGCACTTATAAGGCTTCTCTCCTGTGTGGACTCGGACGTGTCTTATGAGCGCCGACTGAAATGGGAATGATTTGCCACAGTACTGGCAGACTTTTTTCTCTCTTTTTTCCACTGCTCGTTGCAGCTCCCTGCTGCTTTCCTCTGCTGGTTCTCTGCTCTGTTCCTCAGCCTTGCTGTTCTTACACTCCTCGTTCAGCTCGTGTGCGTGCATTTCCATATGTGCAGCGTACTCAGAGCAAGAGAATTTAATCTTGCAATATGGGCACTTCTGATATATGTTGCTCTTTCTGTGGGTCTTGAGATGAAGATTTAAGTTAGAGTTTTTGCTAAAACCCTTGCCACACTCTGAACACTTGAACGGCCTCTCTCCTGTATGAATGCGTTGATGGATGACGAACTGAGACAGAAACTTAAAACTACGACCACAGTAACCACATTTCAACAGGGTTTTACCCCCCTTTTTAGTATAGATGACATTTTCGCCAACACTGGCGTTAGCTTCCTTTTCCTCATCACTGCAGTTTGTTTTTGGTTGGGTGTCACTACCCGCTTCGTGGTTCTCTACAAGACGCTCTCTTGGTAATAAAACCTTGTTTACCATCCTCCTCCTCTTACCACCTCTCTTGCGTCGAAAAACAACATTTGGAACCTCAGATTTAACTAAGGGAGTGGTGCTGTGCTGGGAAGAATTGGGGCTATTTGACCTGGGCGCAGGTTTTAAATGCTCCAGCTCTAAATTCTCAGCTTTGACAGCAAACGGTGCCCCAATAGATGTCCGCGTTTGCTCAGGGGGAGTCAGGGTATCTGTGCTAGAGGGCTTTGGCAGCTCTGCATCTGCTGGAGACTCTGAGAAGTCTGGTGTTTCTGATGGTGACTCCTCGCTGCCATTTATGTCCAATGACTGATTTACTTTAAGGTTATCAGTCTGAGTTGGGTTTGGCAAATCAGATTCTTTCAAGCTGTCTGAAGGAATAGCTTCAGGCTCAGGCTGGGAATTCACCTCTGCTTTTGGTAATGCAGTTTTGTCTTGTTGCTTCTCCTGCTCTAGTCCTTCCCCAGAATGCAGTGGGAGCTGAGCATCCCTCACATCTGAATCAGTCTCATGTTTGTCAGTGTCCACCTGTTTTTCTGTCTCTGTGCTTTTTCCGCAGTCTATATCAGTGCTCAAAGTCAGCAAGGCCTCCTGGGATTCATCCAGCTTGGACACTTTTGCTGGAAGTTGCTGATCAATTTGCAACTTAGTCCTTCGTCTCTTCACACCTTTAGAGTTGGATGTACGAGTACTTTCTGTAGTCCCCGCTTCAGTTTGTTTTAGATCCTCCTTGTCCTTCTTGCTATGAGATTCTAACTTATCATCCTGCATCAAAGTAGGTTGCTCCACCCTACTCCTCAGTGTTCGTGCAGGACTGCTAAACTTATTAGCATGAGAACCAGGAGCAGCCATAGAAACCTGGTTTTGAAAAGCTGCCATTTCTGATTTTCTTGGCCTTCCTGGTCTTCTTTTTGGCAGCAAAGGAGCAGCGACTTGTACGTTGTTATCCAGGACAGGCTGAGGAGCGGGCATCTCATTATGAGTCGCACTATTTATTAACTTACTATCCACAGCGTAAGGCAAATCGTCACTGTTGTGGTTTTCCACACTTGCTGGCAAAGGTATGGTGGTGCTAACTTCCTTATGCTGAACAGCATCTGCAGCATCTGGACCTCTTTTGTCTTCAGTCGGGGCTGGTTTGATTTTACGGGGTCTCCCACGTTTCTTGTGGATGATCACGGGCTTCCCTTGGCTGTCTGTTGCAGAGCTGCACACGCTAGCAGGAGTCAGAGATTTTGCTTCCACCTCTGCCTGCGAGGGCACTGCCTCACTGCGCTGACAGTTTCTCTCACCAGCGCTTTCAGAGCTGACATGAACATCAGACTCCCGGCTCCCAGGCTGTTTCAACGGCGTCCCTTTCATTTTATCTCCCCGCCTGGAGTCCACGTCTCCCTCACTGCATGTCTTACCTTCGGGTATCTGTGGAAGTAAAAAGAAGAGTGAACATGAATGAATTAATGATTTTATTTTTTGTTGCACAAATCATTTGGAAAAGCATGTTTATTAAAGGTGGAAAGAATAAACACATGAACATGAATCTTTTGCACATTTCAAAAACTATAAAGCGATATTTGCACAAATATATCTACCAAAATTGGTTCAAACTTGAAAACTAAGCGTGCATATTCACATATGCACAGATGCATGACTTCATAACACATCACATCAGACTGCGGTCTTCATTAGTGCAGATTTAAATGACGCTGTATACTGTAATAAACAGCACAAGCTCATCCACTTGTCTTTCTTACTGGCTACCTGCTTGCAGTCCGAAGAGGCATGATTGGAACTGCGAGGTTGAGGTGCCACAGAAGTTAACTCAGAGAGTGTATTTTGGTCACTGCTTCCTCTGCTGAAGGACATTTTACTCCCCATGTCAAGAGTCTGTGGATTAAACAGCGACAAGGAGGTTGTAAAACGAGCAGCGACGCGTAAAAGCAAAAACGCTTCGGGCTGGGGAGTAATTATTCCCAGGATGAAAAATAGAAAATTACTAATAAACTGCATGCCATGCCCATTTGTCGTGATAAGTTTAAAGTGGATGGTTGAACTGGGATCATCTCATGCACCCACTGACTATTTTTTACAGATAGGGGTACCAAACTGCAAATTTATGCTGGAGAAGTATAGTAAAGGCCATAACTGGATCACACACAGTCAGATTCAAGCTCAATAAGCATATGCTGCTTTGCAAAACTTCAAGTTTTCCCCAAAAAAGATGAGCAACCTTTTAAAATCTAAATCCGCTGGGAAAGAAGCAGAGTTTGCAACTGGTTTTACAGAGAACTGCTGAGTTTCTTAACCTCAAGACTTGAAAATACACCTCTAAGGGGACTGACACCCTTTTCCCATTACATTTCCAGAGGTAAATCTAGAATTTCTTCTACAACAGTTATATAAAAGTTAGTCAGAAGCAGATGGACTTTGCCAATTAAAAAAAATAAAAACCATACAGCATCTTATAAATAATGATGTATCATTACACAACTGCTTACAAGCTATTTATCTTTAGGTATCTTTAGGTATCAATAGGTATCTTTAGCATCAATAACAATACTCTGTATGACAATATTTAAAGCTCATCATCTATCACCAACAGTTTAAAGCGACCGGACCCGCAGAAACATGCACACTATCCAGGCTCAAAGTAGATTCACTGCAGTTTGCAAAAGCACAGGGCATATGCATTAGATGTAACAGAAGAAATCCAGCCTAGCTTGACAAGATGTGCATGGTTGCTATTGTTATCCTGCCTTTCATCTCCACTGCAGGAACACTTCATCTGATGGAGACTTTGTGATGCTCACGAGCTGCTGACTCACATTTAAACCCCCTCTCAGACACAGCCGTGCCCCACTGGCTCACTTCTATAATGTTTTACAGCATTTACAGATTTAAAAAGAAACCCGGCTACCAGTTATCATTCAAAGCTACCAAAGCCGTGACTAACAATGCGAGTTAGGCGTTATCGTGTGCTAGGCCACATCGCTAGCTCCGATAATTTGACATCACAGGCCACACGAACCTTAAGCATTAATCTCTACGCCTGCTCACACAACTTTCTTTACAGCAAGTAACGCATGTGTAGTTCATCTGTGATGGGTGATAGTAAACACAAAGTGCTTGCCTGCGTGGGAGAGAGTCAGAACTGGTTTCTGCGTAGCCATGCGCTGACCGCCGCTCAAACTAGAACTAGCTAGCACTGGCTAACTCAAGCTGTGGCTACGAGGCATTTTGGACGCCCTTTTCTTACAGGGATGCACTGATCTAAGAGCTGAGCTGTTAATGTGGGCCTCGCTTTTTCTTCTTTTCTGAACAGTTTGCAGAAGTGAATCAGTCGGTATCCACACACAAAGCAATCTGAAAAAACTGTTAATTAAGCCGAGCGCACAGAGCGCGTAGTTAGAGTGCTGTGGGAAATTTCGGAACTCCTCATGGGGAAAACTTTAAAAATTGTAATCAGAACACGCGCACACAAAAACAGCAGATTTGTTCTGTTTGTCAATATGTGTGTGTTGCTGAGACAATTAGAAATGTTATAAACAAGAAGCGTGGAAGGCAAAAAGACATACATTCATTTAGCAATTAACAATAACGTGAGTATGCCCAACTCCTACTCGTTCTGCAGTTTTAAGTTTTCGCAGGGAGTCCGTGTCAGATGTGCAAGCATCAAGTATCTCAATGTACACCCAATATATATCCAGTTTGGCATATGTTATCTTAACACATAGGATTTAAATTGACGCTTCTATTACACACAGACAACAAGTGAACTCCGCATGAGCGCTTCTGCAGCATCTTTGATTTTAAGGTATGGATGTTACCTCATAATGAATGGACGCACTACGTCGCTTTGTTTGTGCTTTGAAACAGCTCCCTCTGCTGGAGAACCACTAATGACAATGAAACTGTCACCATTAGTTTGGTGGATACAAAAAACAGGCAATTTTAAGAGTGGAGGCACAAAACTTGATAAAAATTAAGAAAAAACAAACAAACCCTAATACACTATTAATATACCTCATTTTCAGACAGTATCTTTAAAATATCTATAATGAATTATTTTTCACGTTTGTATGTATTTGATGTACTTTGTGAAAGATTACCAGCGCTTTACAATGCAGTATTAAAATATGCAGGATCTGATATCCTCGTGTCGTTTCCACATCATCATAATAAATGTTGTTCCAGGTTCAACATTGCAAGTGACCAATCACATTGTTGTGACGTAATACTATAAAGTGTCGTGAACACAAAACACTGAGTTTGAAAATATACTTTAATACATTATATATTGTATTCTTAAAAGTCTCTACAAAGCTGGTATGAACACACTGGGCATTTTGGCCAATCCCCACAGCTTCACAACACATTCTGATCATACTAAAAACATAAAAACAGAGCAAAAACTATAATAGTGCCGGTTAGGGCACCAAACATGATTCAACCCCCACATACGTACATTTTTTTTTCATCTTCTGCAACCACCACAGAGGTACCACCTTCATACTTTTATAAATTCGAAATGCATTAACAAAAGAAATCGAGGTGAATTAAAGATGGATTTTTATTATCACTACTCTCTATATCTTAAAACAGTCTTGAGCAAACCAGGAAGCATCATGCTCCTGTGCAGTGAACTGAGCAGATTCCTTTCAACCAGGATGTCGCCATCTCTATGCGCTTGGTCCATATTTTACATGACATGCAGACTGGATGTGCCTCACTAGTTTTGTCAAGTCTTGATTGGTACAGATGACATTACTTGGTAAATCATCTCAGCAGGTTTGTCTGGTCCGCCTTCAACGATGTAACAGTCATCATCGCTATCTACTCCCGTGTTCCCGTTGACAGGCCCTTTTTCCAAGTTTACAGTCAGGATTTGGCTCTTCTTCACATTACCAGAAGATGGTATAATGCATTTCCTTTTGCCATTTACCTGAGCAGGAACTTGGCTTGCCACTGGCATCATCTTTTTGAACTGCTGCATGCCACCTCGCACGTGTTGGGCCATAAACTCCCGTGCTTTGACACACTTGTGCCTCTGAAGGAGTTGAGCAGATTCAAAAGAAATATGACAGACTCGGCATGAGAAGCCACCTGATGCAGAAGACACCCCTGCAGAGTTTGTGGGCATCTTTAACTGCAAACTAGGATTTTGAGTCTGAGGCTTTGATGGAAAGGACACACCGATGTTGGATGCATTCTTAAACTGCAATAATGGAGTGACACGTACCCCCTGTTTGGTAATGAAAGGGACACTCTTAATTTTCAAGATGGAGGTAGGGGGCAGTTCACCAATATTCTGATTTGTCACCTGCAGAGAGGAAGTAGTCGGAAGACCCAGGGCGCTCAGAGTCTTTGCCCCACTTGTCACGTTCATAGTCTTGAAACCAAGTGGCTTTGCTGTGACTAGCCTGAATTTGGATCCGTTGTTTGATGAGTTACATACATGGTAGCGAGGCACAATCTTTTTGTTGGAGAGCAGCAGCCCACATCCTATGCAGCCCGAAATTTTGTCAGGAACATGAAAGTTGTGGTGGGAGATGAGTAAGGTCTTTGAGAAAAAACACTGCCCACACTTACCACAAGAGTATGGCTTTTGCTTGTTAAACTTGCGCACTGTTGGAAGCAACACAACTGGCTGATAAAGCGTCCAGACATCCACTGTCGGTGCGCCAACATCTGCGAAAATATTCTGCATGTCTGTTGTTGAGGATGCGGGGTTTGGGAGCAAAGATGCTTGTGACATTGATGGGTACAACTCAGGCACTTGTGAAATTTTTGCAGGCTGCACGCAAAGCTGCGGCACACACACCGACGCACTGGGTACCTGCAGCACAGGAGTCACTGGCAAAGAAACTGGGGGTGCACTGGCCTTTGTCCAAGCATTGGTCATTTTAGGCGTATTCCAGATTACCTCACCCTTCTGTATCCTTTTAAGTTTCTCCTCCTCCTCTATGCGCTTCTCTATCCTGCGGTTCCGTATGGTTTTGTGATCAAGCACTTGGTGCCCGGGCTCGTGCATAGTGCTGTGCTCCTGCATATGCTTGTACTCAGTAAACTCGGTCCCGCAGGAGCAGATGAAACTCGCGGATGAACACATATGCTCCTCCAGGCATTTCCTGTTTGCAAATATCTGCTCACAGCTGAAGCAAAACTGCCCTCCATTCATCAGGTCTGTGACCAAGTTGTAATCCAGGGTGCTTTGCCTTCCTGTCTCCATCCTCACACTGAGCATTAGTGTGTTCACTGCTAACGGGGAGCACGCTGGTCCTGGTAGAAGAAGCAGGTTTGAGAATAAATATGAATCACAAGCAGTGTACGGAACATCACCTTTACCTTCTTTTTACATGTTTAAAATGCATTTGCTGTTCGCCTATAAAGGAAAGTCCAAACTTCTGCACAATTACTAGCAAATCACTACAACTGTGAAAGGAAAACCAAATTATTAGGCGGTGAATTATTCATAAAAATGCACTGTACACTTGAGAAATCTGGAGGGTAAAGCACCTTAGCTAGCAACGCTGTAAAATTAATAACGGCTTTTTTTTTTTTTTAACTAACGCGCGCTTCCTTTGCTACATGCCTAGCAGGCTAGCGTTAGCCTCTGCTACATCACATATAACATCATTAGCTCATTCCAACATGAAAACGAAACCGCTGCCATCCCAATAGTAAGGCACTACCTTGGAAAAGCTGCAAACTGTTTGTCTGGTGTCGTTTTGCGAGACATTAACAAATGGGCTGAGTCGCCGGCAAGTGTAGCACAAATAGGTAGCAGTTAGCCTGTAACCACACCGAACAAACAAGAGGGAAGAAGGGGAAAAAAGAAGAGAAATCCTCATCTTCTTCTCTTAAACATCACACGCTGTT